CAGGTGCACAACATAACGTGGTTGCAATAAATAAGTGCAGTAACTCACGAGCAGACAGCATTATCAAATCCTGTTCCAATATTACATGCAACCATCGACTCTTCAAACTCGATTTTCTAGAATCATTTCGTACAGCGAGCTTAGAAACAATGTATTCCATGTGCGGCTTCCAAAGATATCCATCGAAAGATATAAAAATCGTATAAAATATCGTATAAAATTAAAATATCGTTAAATAAGAAAATAGCAGACGGTTAAAGTCCATTTAATGGAGACAGAAATTCGATAGGGTCGGTGTAGGTATTACTATGGTTTCTCAATGTAGGCGAACTGCGACAGAAAAAATAAGAAATAATTTATTTACGTCTATAAATTGACAACTTCAGCTAGACCTATTATTCTTTAACTTGAATGATTTACTTTCCTCAAAATATTGGACCTCCGTAAGCAGAAATTTCATTAAAAAGCGTGATGTAAAGCAAAGTCAAAAGTCAAAAAGTAAATGAATTGAAACTGCGATTGCTGCTACTTGGATGTCACAAACTATCAATATTAAACATATTAAAAATTATCAGATTCATTTGTAGAAGATTACGCACTATAAAATGTTAGATTTTATTACCTTTATAAAATACCACAGTATTTGTACACGTACAGTGAATTTCATCGTAGCCAAACATAACCTTGACAGTTATTAAAAAATGTTCATCTCACTGAATTCTGTCGTGTTTTTTTACCACAGCTGCGAAAATACTCGCAATGTAACCGGTCGGTCGATTATTATGCACCCTTACACCGATGGTTACATTGGTTAAATTGATTACATTGGTTCAATAATGATGCAGTAAATATTGGTCTGTTAAACACCATTCAGACAATGAAACCGCGGCATTCTAACCACGTCAATTCAATAATTCGAACAGTAGAACGATATTTTCCTACGTATGGACGGTCAGGGCGTGCACAATGATAACCATATCAACCATTGCATGTTCAACTAGTCTGTAATGCGGCATCATTAATCGTATCGTTTCCTCATTATTATGTAAATCAGATCCATGCTCAAATTACGAAATCGCATCGACTTCTCCAGCTTCAGAGACTCAGGGTGGATTACAGTTACTATGTTAATAACAAACGGTACCGCATTCGAGTAAACGCGGTGGAAATTTTGATTGTTTATTATTCGTGAATTGTCTGTTTGCTTTAATACACGAACTAATGTCGTTTAATAACAGATACTTTACTAATAATAATTAATAACAGTTACAGAACTGTAACAATTTATTCGACGTCGTTAACACGCGTCTTTCTTGCTCTTTTAAATTAGGTCGATAGTCCAATTTTCTCATTTCTTTTACAATTCCATATAGAATGATTGTGTAATAGAGGATTGAAAAGATTGTAAAGATTGTAAAGAAGCTGTTAATAAATTCTTGCTTCTTGGTCACGATTTAATAAGTCACATTCTTTTTTACGCAGAATAAAAAATGTTCTGCATTAATTACAAGAAACAGGGACTGAATAAAAATGTATTTTCTCTTTCAATACATTAACAATAATTGAACAATATTCCCAGACTTACCAAACCTCTTCACGGTTTTGCATTTCGTCCAACCGCGTCTGCCATAAATGCATAAAACCCGTCGATCACGAGAGCGTATCCCTTGCGTTGCACAAAATGTGCTAATGTTTATTAATAACGCCGTGTGCTATCGACGAGGGAAATTCGTATCGACGCAACATCGGTTTATTCTAAGTTGTACTCGCTGTCCGCGTATAAATCAACCGAGCAATAAATAAAAACTATCGCAGCGATAAAAATGGTCGCGCGATTATGTTCGGTTAAAGTCATTTTAAATAAAATGTTTGGCGGCGGCCGCCGTGTCGCTGTGCACGGAATTTAGAGACGCACGATTTACGAGCTTCACGGTTCCCCGATACTGTAAGAACATCTTTGTAAAACGGTAACAAAAGCGTTTGATAAATGCATTTCGGACAGCGTCGCAGCGCGACGTCTATTGTGTCAATATTTGAATGGACGAATATTCGAGGAGAAAATTCAAACAAACTGTTCAACATGACGTTCCTCCGACGACCACGATTCCGCTTCTGTCCCCGTTATCCACGGTTTACCAACGATTTGTCGGGCAAAGGTTCTGGGACTCCCTCCGGCATGCGAATTTTATGGAAATGTCGCAGCTCGGCGCGGTAAAAGAATTCGAAAACATCCTGCCCGTTGCCAGCCGACTGCCAGCGGATCGAACATAGTCAACGGGAATTAATTCCTATACTTTGACCGACAGGAAACCATAACCGTGTTAAAATATTTCGATCTACGCACGGACGGCTCGGAAGCCAATCAGCGCATGGCCATCAATGTTCAGATGAATAAGGATTCTGCAAATTAGCTGTAGAAAAATGACAATGCGAATAACAAAGCACGGCACAATTTGGATTTCAGGATGACGTACGAGTGTCTTTAATCGGAAGAGAAATAAAGGAAAAGTGTCAATGTTTTCTTAAAACAAGAAATCGATAATGTACCTATTTGTTATTATTATAAATTATATGTACTGAAAAAGGTACGTCAAAATACGACACTATTTCCTGTCGAAAGAAAAATACTTTTTCTCATTTTTCATTTTTCATGCATATTAAAAAATAAGCATAATTAAAATGAGAGTAAAAAACGCGAAGAGAACCAGAACTATTATATATATATATTAATGATTAAAAGTATATAAAAGTATATATATATATATATATATATATATATATATATATATAATAATCATTAATATATAAAGTTATATATATATAATCTCCAGAACTATTTTGTTCGTTTAATAGCCATCGCACTATATATATATAAAATCGTGTTTCAGTCAGAGATATTCGGATATCGGAGTGTCGCTGATCCATTTTTCGACTGAAAACCATTTTCAATCGATAAAACTTGTCGAAAAATAAAATAAAAAACAAAGAGACATTCTTTATAGTGCATTACTGGTTGTGCTGCACGGATGTGTTTTGCGGTATCGGTCTGGCGTTGCGAACGCAGAGCACAATCATTTGAGGGGTCGCCGGTCGAATGATACCTGGAAACGACGGGGATGGAAAATCTGAATTTGTCGATGCCAGAATTGTCGAATCTTTCGGAGAGTTATTGTTCAAATTTGGCCGTAACGATGTGGTGGGGCAGCGAGCCCGGCAGAGCTGTCAGCTGGGGTTGTTTCTGACGGTCGGCAAAAACTGTTGTAACATTTGGTAAAGTGCAACGTTGTCAGTGAATCAGTTTTCAGATCGGCTGCAGAAACTTTTGGAATTGTTTGTAGCGTCCATTGGAAAATTTCGAAGACAAAAAGATTGCTTCAAATTCTTGCTTCTGTTTCTTAAGAAAACAATGCCCTCGATGGAATGAAATTTAAATGTCAGATACTAGAGTTTTCGCAATTCAAAATGAACGCAGCATGAAAATGGTTAAACTCTTTTGTACGAAGTTTAATCATTTTTAGGTTATAGTTATTTCCTCTTTCGTTTCATGAAGTAGTATACGACATCCTCGTGTCCAATAATTATTAGACTACATAGTTCGTGCATTCGTGGCAAAAATAAGTCCAGAAAACATATATTTCATATAAAAATAAATAAAATATATATTTCACTATAAGAGTGCAAATATTAGAAAAATTGAGAAAAAAATGAACACACTATTTTCAAATAATTAAAACTATCAAGATCAGATTCTATTATTTCATTCCATTCTTTAAGCTGAATAAAAGCTCTTTTTTAAACTAATTATCACTTTGCAAGCATTTCAATTCTACATTGGACAGTATTCAAAACGATCTGTTTGTTTCTCTCCTTCTCTCTCTCTCTCTCTCTCTCTCGTTTAATTCCGTGCACGTCACTTTCATTACGTAATTCAAGCTAATCGTTCCTCTCTGTAATCCAGCCGCCGCATATAGTAATTTTATTCATCAAGGAATGCATGTAATCGCGTCCTTGTCAAAACAGAAACCGAACTGTATCAAAGCGATGTTATTCAAATAATGAAAACGCGATTTCGTTACGCGGAGACGGCCAAAATGAATTATTGCGCGTATTATCCGCCTCTGTCCGTTGTCGCGAATTACGCGCTGTTTAACGAGCAGCGCAGAAAAATGATTAAAAGCTGTCACCGCGCGCGCGCGCGCGCACGTATAAAACGTGTTTCGCCTCGAAAAATCGTATTACACGTCGGCCGGATCGTTGGGAATAAAAACTCTGATGCAGTATCGCTTTCCTCTTGTTTCTTGTAATTTGTTACGATTCATCGGTTTAATTATTTAAACTGATGCGAGCTGCGCGCTCGTGTGTATATACAGGGTGCCAGAAATCGTGGCACAATCGACAGAGTAGGAATTCCACGCGTCAAAATAAATCAAGGATATCAAAAATTTCGATCTAGCCTGTCTTACAAATTTAAGTTAATGTTAATATGAAAAGTACGTTTTATGTTTTTTATGTGAAGTCAATTTCGAAAGACATAATCTTACAGAAATTACGTCGTGTTTGGTGTTATCTAAATCAGAAGAACCTTACAATTATAATAAATTCACCACAATTTTTCTTCAGGTTATAAACAAAATGAACAATACGATTATTCGAGCCTCACGTCTCATTTTTTTATAGTTGCCGATTGACAACAATTCTAAGAACGAGGTGCAAGGCTCGAATAATCGTATCTCCTCTTTCCAAACTGTCGATTTTTGTGTATAAGCTCAAGGAAAATTTGGGACAATTTGCTATACATTGATAAAAGTGTCATCAAGAAAAAATAATAACTAAAAAATATTCACCTGCGTTATTACTATCATTTGCTGTTCTTTTTTACGTTCGACTCGGACGCAGTAATCATAATCTGTCCGAGACGGTAGAGGTATAAATCTCGATATGCAAGCACTTAAGTGTTCAGAAATAAGTATAAATTTTAGCTGTCGTAGTAGTGTACTCACTGGACTTCAGAATCGACACGATCGTTGGAACAGTAGTATCGACGTATTCTCGGATTTCGAAGCCGAGTCGGTTAAACGTCTCCGTCAGATCCTTGCTGTCCTTAACCGAGCCTTTTCTCGACGCCATCCTCTTGAAATTGATGTGATTGAAGATTAGAACGACGCCTCTTCTTTTATGGTTCATGTGATATACTTCGGAGTCCACTGGCACTTGAGTTATAACACCTTCTGGACCTGCTGGTGGCTCGATGGATTCTCTGCAAAAAAAGAGGCGACGAATTACAGTAATTTCACCCGGAAATACCAAACTTCGGGTTGCTCTGAATTTCCTTGCGCTCATGCTACGCCTATGTAATTTATTGCTACGTCGATGTGTTAAGCGTCGACGGAATTTTATCGAATCGTGGCATGTGGCCTCCGAATTGCCTTCGAATCCAAGAAAACAGCTAAATCCGAGAAATCAGCAAAATCCAAGGAAACGGCTAAATCCGAGGAAACAGCTAAATTCGAAAAAAAATCCCGAAAAGTTCTAAACCCGAAGAAAACAGCTAAATTCGAAAAAAAATCCCCAAAACTTCTAAACCCGAAGAAAACAGCTAAATTCGGAAAAAAATCCCCAAAAGTTCTAAATCCGAGAAAACCTCTAAATCCCCAAAAAGTTCTAAATCTCCGGTCTCGTGCATTTCGCGCGCGCATATTTTTGCAGTGGCGCAGGCGCGATTTTCGTGGCCGCCGGTCTATACAGGGCTGAAAAGCCGACGCTGAAACACCGGACCGAGAACGCGCGCGTACCGAAGTTTCGGGTGTTGGTGCGCCGTGTACCGTTGCTTTTTATGTCGCTCGTAAAATGTTGAATCTCGAAAGGATAGCCCGGTTGGAACTGTGCCACCTCTCAACATGCAAGAAATAATGTCCTGCGACGAAAGTTCGAAGCGGGACCCCGCGGCTACTATGACGCGGCTGCGCGGAAACTTTCCGGCGTTTACGCTATCGCGGATATAATAAATGGGATATGCGCGAACGGCCGCACGCAATCTAATTATTTCGATCGAATACCACCACTCCGCGGTCCGCGAATTTCTCGCGCGTACCGAAAACGCGCGCGACGAACGCACGCATAATGCAATTCTCGCTTGAACAGGGTCAAGTAATTCGGATGACCGGCGTTATCGCGTGCCACGTGGCGCGGCATCGGATTACCTTCATTCATAATTTCGGCGTAAGTTCGGTCAGATATTAAGTTATTTCGTGTTCCGCTAATGTTGATGGGTTCAACAATAAACAGTCCGGTTGAACGTATTTAACGGGCTCGGCCAATTGTCACGGCTAGCAGAAAGCACGTGCTCCTGCTATTGGATAATGCTAATTATACCTGAATCAACTATAACGCGTTTAGTAATACATTACTCGATTTACCGTATTTAGTTTATTTAACTGAATGGGTTTGATCGTTAACGATGTTCAGCGCAGACGAGTTTTATATTTTGGACGACGGTAATGATACTGTTATCATGATAATTACGATCGTTTTATTTACAGTCGGTCGCCTGTATGTTATTTTTTAACGTAGAAATTACTTGTTAGATAATAACGTAGTCATTTGACGCTCAATCAATCAATCCGCTTCTCGATGGAAACATCACTCAAGCGCGGCTGACTTTTATGCGAGATAGATTTCAGAAAACCATTTTTTCACCGGTCATCTTTCATATTGGAGGATTTGAAACAGCCATCAAAGTTGGCGATGGGAAACATATTTCATCGATGATCTATCAGAGCATTATAGAGATTCTAAAAGATCAAGTGGAATTAGAAAATTGTATTTTTGGATAAAGAGCTGTGCGAGCAGCTCGCAGAATAACCTGCTCGTTTAAATGAAATAGAGAACCGTAGCTTTCGTTAAAATATGTGATAAAATATGAATATATTTTCTTATTTATAAAGAATGCAGAGATGCGAAAATATATTGTAGGTTTAGAAATTTTGTCATTTGCGATTTCGTTAATTACGATTCTCGTCGGCAATTTCGCGATCGCGTACCGATAAATAAAAATAGAAACATGTTTATTCAAAAACTGTTTAGTACGCGAACTCCGGTCAAATTGAAAAATCTCATTTCACTAATATTTCGTAAGAATGCGACCGCTGTGTTCGAAATGTTAGAAGTGTCTCGAATCAAGTACCATTGTCGCCGACAAAGGTTTAAACGAATGGAATTCAGTATCTATCCGTTGCACGCTCTGCATTATAAAATTCATGATGAAAGGGTGAAGCATCTTTCATATAAAGTCACTGCGGCTAGTTAAAGTATGTGTCCCATTAATTTTATTTCATGTCCTTTCATCGCGTTCCCGACTGAAATCCTCCTACAATCCCCGACAATTAATGACCCATTCTCATTTGACAGAGGCGAAAATAAAACGACCGCAGAATGTGAGGAATAAAGTCAGTTCGGTGTAAAACGAAACTACAGAAATCAGGCCAATTTTGCATAAAGGAATTCAAACCGTGCGGTTTCATGGATGTGTACACCGTTTGGGACAATGTGTTTACTAGCTTTTTTTGAGTTTCTTTTTTCGAAGAATAGAAAATAATTTTTGAAATGCTCCCTTCACGTTTTGTTGCTTAATTATTGAGCTTCGAATTGTTATTGTTAAACTACAGTTAATTCCTGCTTTAATCATTTTAACGAGTTGAAAATGAGTACATCGATACTTTTTAGTTATTTTAACTTGTTAATATTAATTTGTAATTTTTCACTTTTCTCTAATTCGTCTTTGCCATGAACTAGAATTATTTATTTACTATTCCAATAAAAATATTACGATTAAAAATAACGATTTGAATGAAACTCTTCAATTTCTCTGATTTTACTTAATGTGTCTTCGCTTTAAAAAACCATTATAAAATTAACCGAATAACATAATCCAAATCTCGGTTATTGTAAAATGATATCGACAGAATAGTAGTGCTTATAATTGAAATATTGAGCATGTTGAAAACGCATTCACCAATATTTAAAGGCAATACCTATAAAATTTACATTTAGCCCACGTATTGGGAAATATGTTATTCAAGTATCGTTAGTTACAATGCTAATCGAAACTGCATTACAGTCATAAAGAAATTAAGTTTTACATGACGTTCCATAATTATTTACTGTTTGTTATTGTTACGTTACATTTCTACTCATTATAACTTCATTACAACTAACTCTTTTGAAAATTATCCCCGAAATGTAATAATATAATAATAACACAGATTAAAGATAGATATACATAAGTACCAATTTTTTAATCCATAAAATCTCTTTAATCCAGGTTTACGTATTTTTATATTTCACCTAAAATACTACTTGTTATAAACAAGTATAAACTTGTATTACCTACTTGTAATAAATTGATTGTAAATTCTGTGTCCTAAATTGCTTCATTTTAGGTTATGTCAAATTTTTATAATTCCCATTGCAAATTATTTAACGTTCGTTATCATTAACAGGTAATTTAGCACAGCTCTTTCGTTTAATTTTCGTTTAATTATTCGACTGAAGAGGCTGTCTAATGCAACTGGAATCTAAATTTCGTGGACTCGCAATTGGCTGATAATTCCAGTGATCGTCGGAACCACGGCGGATGGTCACTTATGTATTTTCCGGCGGCCGGTCTATAGCGTCCTTGAGGATCATCCCTAATATATTCAAAAGCCCTCGGAGAGCTTCGAAACCTAAACTCTTCTGAGGTCACCGCGATGCACCGCGAGGTTAATTCGGACCTCTAGGCCGTGGTTTAATTCAATTCGAGTCTCTAGGGCTCGGCTTGTCCAAATCCTGGTTCTCTGCTCCGAATAGATATTTCGGGCTGTTCCTGTTCAATAAGGCTGTCGCTCAACAGGTTACGCGAACGGCTCTCAAACGAATTGCCATTTTAACTCCTCGAAATTGTGGCAGCCTCGTCATAGCTACCACACGTTCTGTCCGACAACCACAGATGTTCTCTCTACTTTGCAACACAGCGAACGCGATTACGACGTTGAATCATTTTTACATAGAAAACAATGAACTGTGTCGTCTGAGAAGTGATCGCAGGCATGGCAATGATTATGAAATAAAATAACACGCCTTTCAAAGTAATATTTTCAAGTACGTGTCATCTCGAAAGTGATCACAGGCGTGGCAATAATTATAAGATGAAACAACTTGTCATTTAAAATAATGAGTCAATTACATGTCATTTCAAAAATGATCGCAGGCATGGAAATAATTATGAAATGGAATAATGTTTGCATGTTAGAAAATAGAATAATATTGAATAATATGAAATATGATATATATGTATAATAATATGAAATAATATTGAATAATATGAAATAATATAGAATAATAGAAAATGTAGTATATATAACAATATGAAATAATATAGAATAATATGAAATATAGTATATATAATAATATGAAATAATGTAGAACAATATGAAATAGAATAATATTTGCAATAAAATTTCAGACAATATCATTTGAAATCAGCTCGGGTCTGACGAGGTTGAAAATAGATCTCGAAAACTAGTCAAAAATTAGTGGTCGACGCTGTGTAAATGGAACCAAAGGATCGCTCGCGCTTGTTTCTATGCATAGAGAATGATCCGTATCGGTTTTTGAGCGATTAGGGTGTTTTCGATATGTATGTATCGAGGTCCCAAAGTCCGTGATCGTCAGCGTTTGGTCCCACAGGGCTGCTGTCGCCTATTCCGATTTGCACAGGTGTAACGCCGCTGTATCTCGTCCCAGGTGTGCAGCAACAGCTAGTCTCACGTTCAAAGTGTCTGAGCTTCTTCTTCTTGAGTGCCAAGCGACTTCCGGTTATGCTCTATGAGACTGCAAGTGTCCCAAACCGTCGTCGTTCATGCCGCAGGCGAAACACGTGATTAACTCTCTTCCACTACTTCCGTCTCTGATCTAAATTTCTCGAATGACTGTACTCAAATAGACAGCTGCTGACGGAAAGTTTGATTTTTTTTAAATTTTCTTCGAGAACAACAGCTGTACAGTTTTTATTTGAACTGAAATGTTTCGGAAATGGTTATCGAAATGGAAAGATTGATTTTAGAACCTTTGCTGAATTAGTTTCGTTTTCTACAAGCTTATTAATTATCAATTATTATTATATATATATATTACAAGTCCACTAGATATTTTTATGCGAATTTTTGTCCAGGGATTTCTTTTTTACGGAGACAAACGTTCGATCCAAATTAATTCTTT